TTTGATAGTGACTCTGTATCCAGTGTGATGTGTCCTGATTCAGTCTCTTTATTTTTAGCTCTACACTATTAAAATTAGTTTAGGGGTTTAATTTAGTTGGAAAACATGTTGATGGTTATTACATATGTCTCCTGGATCACTTTAGAATTTTTTAATGTTACATTTTTTTAATCAGGTAGCTTTCCCACATTTCATGGGTGCAGTGTTCATATGCGTTATTTTTTTCTGTGTGTGTTATGCTTTTAGACTTTTGGCCCTTTTTCACAAGATTGAAAACTGCATGCAGTTTTTAATGTGTTCTCGTGATTAATTTTGTCCTTGCAGAGACGGTGGGATTTGTTGATAAGCTTTTTGAATGTTTGACGACCAAGAACTACCTGGGAAATCCTGCTGCCAAGGAAACTCCCAAAGAGGAGATTAAACTGCCTGCAATCAAGGCTGAAGTTGTTGAGGTACACCCTGAAATTGAATAGCTCGCCTTTTGAAAATGAGTGTGCTCACACACACACACACACACACACACAATTTTTTTTTTTAAGCTGGTTGAGTGGTTTTGTTGGAATGGGCATTTCAATTTGAAATCAAAGCTTTTGATAAAATCACTTATTTTGAATGCCTTTTTGTTTATTATGGCTACGTCCACACGTACATGGGTAGTTTTGTAAACTGAGATTTCTCATTTTCATTTAAAAAACGAAAAAATATCTCGTCCACACGTGCAGTTTTGAAAAATTATCTCCGTCCACATGTAAACGCAGAAGTAGCTCACAAAGAGCCCAAGTGAAGTCCTCGACCTGTGAAAATTATCTCGCCATTCTTCTGGAAGAAACGCGTTTTTAAAGAAAGGCCCAAATGCATAGAAAAAGCCGTGTTTTTAAAAATACCCATGTATTTGTGGACGTAGCCTAAGTTTTAAAGTTATATTATAGCTGATGTTTTTTGTTTTGTTTATTTTGTTTTTTCTCCTCAAGGCTGAAACACCCGAGGAAGAGAACAGGCGAAGGAGAAGTCCTCTGAGAAATCGCTCTGACTTCAATGAGTCCAGGTATATGGCTTGCATTTAACTCTGTCTTTATAAGCAGCTAAAACATTTGCAGGTAGGATGCTCTTGTTGAACTGTTTAGTACATATTGATGTTGTGTAGTTGTATAGCGATCTTACCAAGCAGCTATATTTCCAATCCTCCGAGTCCTGCTTTTGGCTTGATTAGGCCCTCGTGTCCACTAATGTGTCCCTTGGCTTTCGCATATCTAGTGTTGCTTCAGATGGGAGAGTTCATTCACTGATATATGATGATTAACGTAATTTGAAAAGAGTTACGTCTTTAATATGCAGGTTACATTTTTGCATTTTCTGCATATTTTTTAGAAATTAAGTTGTCATTAATTTATTTATTTTTTTACTTTCTTGAGCTTCTGCTGTGAAAAGCTTCTGTTAATGAAACTAAGCACTTCCCAATAGTTTTAACACAAACAGCCCATTTGGGGACTTAATGGGATTGTGCACACATAAAACAAAGGTAATTAAGCCTTTCCCTAATAACTTGTTTCAG